CCATGGCAGCGCCGTAACGGTCCCGGGGGCGTTGGGGCTGAGGGAGCAACGGCCGCGCGGGGCGGGGCGGCCCCGCAGGGCAGCGGCGCCCTTGGCCGGCGCCGGGCTCGCTCCAGCCCGCCGGGTCGAGCGGGAGGGGGTTGCGCTCCCTCCGCCTGTCGCGGGGGCCTTATCGCAGTGGCCGTTTCTGTCGCCGTTGCCGTTAGCCAAGGGCAAAAGCGTCTGCTGGGGACCCCTCAGTAATAATTAACTCCAGGGAACCCTAGAGAGAGGTGTCTCGAGGTAGGATAACATGCTGCCGTTTTGTCCCTCTTCAAAAATCCGTGTGTATCTCGTTGTTCATAGTGCAAAGTGAACCCCGATGGCTTCTACACCTGCTTCGCAGCCTTCTGCTAAGAAAACCGTGGCCTCTCAGGTGCCTTTTGCGCATCTGTGCTGTACTCTGGAGCGAATGCAGACTTGTAAATCTCGGCCGGAGAAGACAAAGTATTTCAAGGATTTTTTGAATTCCTGGAGGAGGTTCCACGAAGCTCTTCATCAAAAGGAGAAAGATGTCACCGATTCTTTTTACCCAGCAATGCGACTTATTCTTCCGCAGTTGGAAAGAGAAAGGATGGCTTACGGGATTAAAGAGACCATGCTTGCAAAGCTCTATATTGAACTGCTTAATTTGCCCAAAGATGGAAGAGATGCTGCAAAGCTTTTAAATTACAGAACACCTGCTGGCTCACGTGGAGATGCTGGAGATTTTGCACTGATTGCCTACTTTGTCTTAAAACCTAGATGCCCAAGACAAGGTAGACTGACAATAGAGCAAGTCAATGAGCTCTTAGATGCAATAGCTAATAATAATTCTGCCAAAAACAAGGGTCTGTTAAAGAAAAGTCTCCTTCAGTTAATTACTCAGAGCTCCGCACTTGAACAAAAATGGCTTATCCGCATGATTATAAAGGATCTGAAACTTGGTGTTAGTCAACAAACTATATTTTCCATTTTTCATCCCGATGCTGCTGAATTACACAATGTCACAACGGATTTGGAAAAAGTCTGTAGAGAACTGCATGATCCCACTGTCTCACTTAGTGATGTTTCCATCATGTTATTTTCTGCCTTTAAACCAATGCTTGCTGCTATTGCTGATGTCCAGCAAATAGAAAAACAAATGAATAATCAGGTATTCTACATAGAAACTAAACTGGATGGTGAACGTATGCAAATGCACAAAGATGGAGATGTTTATAAGTATTTTTCCCGAAATGGGTATGACTACACTCAGCAGTTTGGTGCTTCACCCCTTGAAGGTTCATTAACTCCATTTATTCATAAAGCATTTAAAAGCAACGTGCAAAATTGCATTCTTGATGGTGAAATGATGGCTTACAATCCTGAGACTCAAACGTTCATGCAAAAAGGAAACAAATTTGATATAAAAAGAATGGTGGAGGAATCTGACCTGCAGACCTGCTACTGTGTGTTTGATGTGTTAATGGTTAACAATCAGAAGTTGGGTCATGAAACGCTAAGCAAAAGGTATGAGATCTTGAGTGACATATTTACCCCAGTAGCAGGTAGAATACATGCTGTACATAAAACAAGTGCCAGAACAAGAAAAGAAGTAATCGATGCTTTAAATGAAGCAATAGATAACAGAGAGGAAGGAATTATGGTGAAAGATCCCACGTCCACTTACAAGCCTGACAAACGTGGGGAAGGCTGGCTAAAAATCAAGCCAGAATATGTTAGTGGGTTGATGGATGAGCTGGACCTTCTGATCGTTGGCGGTTACTGGGGAAAGGGCTCGCGCGGTGGAATGATGTCTCATTTTCTGTGCGCTGTTGCGGAAACTCCACCTCCAAATGAAAAACCTAGTGTTTTCCACTCTATCTGCCGTGTCGGCTCTGGCTATACTATGAAGGAATTGTATGATCTAGGTTTGAAACTGGCTAAACACTGGAAGCCCTATCGTAGGAAGGACCCTCCGTGCAACATTTTGTGTGGAACTGAAAAACCTGAAGTATACATTGAACCTTGTAACTCTGTAATAGTTCAGATTAAGGCAGCTGAGATTGTCGACAGTGATATGTATAAAACTGACTGTACATTGAGATTCCCCCGAATTGAGAGAATAAGAGAGGACAAGGAATGGTATGAATGCATGACTTCAGACATTCTAGAGCATCTCAGAAGCAAAGCAGAAGGGAAACTGGCCTCTAAACACCTTCATATAGACGATGACGATGAGCCTCAAGAGAAAAAAAAGAAAACTGTACCGAAGGTGAAGAAGATAATTGGGATAGCTGAACAGTTTAAAGCACCTGATCTTTCTAATATAAACAAGGTTTCAAATGTATTTGAAGATGTTGAATTTTGTGTTATGACAGGAACAGCAAGACATTCGAAGTCTGAGTTAGAAAGCAGAATAGCTGAATGCGGTGGCAGTGTGGTACAGAACCCTAGACCAGACACGTATTGTGTTATTGTAGGAACGGAGAATGTCCGAGTGAGAAACATCATTGCTTCCAACAAATACGATGTGGTCAAGGCAGAGTGGCTCCTCCAGTGTTTTCAAGCCAAAATGCTTGTACCTTGGCAGCCTGCCTTTATGATTCACATGTGTCCTGACACAAAAGAACATTTTGCTCGTGAGTATGATTGTTACGGAGACAGCTACACAGCAGATGCAGATGTTGCACAACTAAAGGAAGTGTTCTCAAGAATGAAAGATGATAAGAAGATGATGCCTTTGGATGTGATTGCTGAATTAGAAGAACGTTACTCATGGAATAGCTGCCAACTCAGTATATTCAGAGGAAACACTATTTATGTGGACTGTTATGCTGTTGTTAATGAGCCCAGAACAAAAATCCATGGAACAAGACTATCAATTAGAGCCTTGGAGCTCCGATTTTATGGTGCAAGAGTAGTCCCACACTTAGAAGAGGGAGTGTCCCATGTCCTTATAGGAGAAGACCACTCCCGGGTAAAAGAGATGAAAGCGCTGAGGAGAACATTTGCTAAAAAGTTTAAAATGGTCTCTGAGCTGTGGGTAACTCATTCAATAGAGGAAGGACTACCAAAGAATGAAAATCAATACCTAATCTAAAGTAGTTTTTAAGCTGGAAGCAAAGAAAAAATTATTGTTAACATGATTAGGCTTGGCAAATTATGTAGCTCTGTTGAGTTTTCTGAATCTTTTGATAGCTATTTAAAGAATAATGTGTTGTTGGAAATAGAGGAAGGTTGTTATTTGCACTGTTGTGGAAGCAAGAGGGTGCTATTTTATGTTGGGGTGGGGTAAAAAAACATACGACAAACCGAAGCCATTTTCTTCATAAACACATCTAAGAAGGTATGTATTCTTTTAGTAAGAGAATTCCTAGTCATTAATAGTGCCTGGCTGCATTGTTCAAAATGGAATCAATTAACTACATTTTAGGGAAATTCTTCGATGTAGCATATTATTTATTTATAACTTTATAATCTCATCCATGTTGTTGTAGCAGTAGCAGTTCTGCGCATATTCTATAACCTGCAGAATTTGTTAATTTATAAACCTCTGTATTGTTTTAATTTGTTTACATTGTTTTTAACGTTGAGTCTCCACACAGTCCGAGTAGTGCTCTGGTTTCAGGATATTGCTGAAATACACTGTAAATTAGAACCTAAACTTCTAAATTTAATAATTAATGAATTAATATTTACTTATATAGTTGTAAAATACAAATCAATTGCTTTAAAACTTTTATGAGTTCCTCCCTCCATTACAGTTAAAATCAAACCATCAGAGTGACAGACTGAAAACTAAACACAAAAATAGCTTTATCCTTATAAAAATGTATCATAAGCTCTTTCAGGAATGTGTGAAATTGATTTCCAAACACTGTTCATTTAAAAAATAAATAATAAATAAAATATATTTTTAAATCTGCCTTGTATGTTCCTTGTATGTTGTTTTAGTGAGAAGTAACTATTTGAAAAATATGAAACAGTTTCTGATTTTACTCCATTAAATAACTTATACACTAACTTTGAGGGAAGAAACACTTTTAAGTGAGTTTTGGTTAAGAAGTCAACACAGGTGTTGAACAGAACTGCTTGTGACCTCATCAGACAAAACCAGGTTTGGCCGACCATTCAGTGTTTCTTGTGGTATTTTCATATAAAAAAAGATCAGAAAATATTATATGAAAGGCTGAATTGAAGAACACTTATTCTTATCTCTTATAGTTACTATAAGAATTAGGAACTCCAATACTTTTCGAAACGTTCTAAAAGATGCCTCACCACTTTTCTTAAGTTACCATATGCAGAATGTGTGTTCCTTGTTTTTCTACACTTAAAATAATAAATACATTAAAAACTTACTTTTTTTCCAGTAATTTCAATAGAAAGCTGCTGTGTGTAAAATATACTTGCAACACTTTTACATGACAGATATTATTAAGACTATCTTAAATTGCTAGGCTTCCTTCTGATTTATAAAGAGAAATTGAGAAGAGTTTGCCTTTATACCCATGCAGATTTCTCTTAAGCAGATTTTAGTCAAATATTCACTTTAAGTGGTCCTGGCCAGGAAGCTGAAGAGACAGCAAAGCAAATGGGGATTACAGCTGACTCTTGAGACATTTCAAACTATCACTTTCACTCCTCGTGTAATCTACCGAAATGCATAAAGAAATACTAAATTCTTTGCTGCACTTTCTTTGATCTTCACAAAGTTATTTGGGGGAATCTAGAACTAGTGTTTATCAGCAAAAAAATGTTATTCAGTGACATTTAATCCACAATATATTAATAAAATATTTTTAATTAAATAAAATGTTGTGGATATTTGGATGAAACAGGTCCCTGCTATTGTTAAAATATGTATCTAGTATATCAGGGACAGAAGAACCATTAATATTCTCAGGTAAGCATAGAATTTTAAGCATAGAAAATTTGCTAAGCATAGCAAAACAGCAGTTAGTTACAGGAAAAGATTAAGAAGTTTGTGAATCCGCTTCTTTTCAAGGACATTCTGGTATGTAGTGATGGAACCAATGAGGGCTGGGAATGATTCAAAACACACAAATATTTTTCCCAGATGCAGAACTCTTTTGTTTTCTTTGTTCTCTTTTGTGTTGGCTTTTATATTTTTGCTTTCTCGTAAAGTCAAATTAGTTACAAAGGCGTAGAGGAAGTTGCAGACATGATGCCTCGGCATGGATATGAGCCAAAGTTTGTAGACAGAGGTAAGAGCAGACAGTTTGTAGGGCTGTAGCCATAGACAAATAGAGGGCTTGTGTGTACCCAGACTGTCCTTCTAATTGTCTAAATACTAATTTGACATATAAACTAACTTTATTATATACTATTGTGTTCCTATTAAAAGATACAGTATTCAAGGAAGAGGGAAAGTTGGAATCAAAAATGCTGAAAGATGAACATGGTTCCAGAGGACCTTCTCTGATTATGAAACCTCAGGTGGTTGTAGTTCATACTGCACTAAATATCTCCATTTCCTTAAATGCGTTTAGATGATAGAAAACAGGGATTTCACAAGTGAAGACTTATCTACATTTTTGTGCAAAGCTGGTGTGTTTTTTATTTTTAAATAAGCACTTTGTTTATTTAGAGCAATTTGATTTGCAGTCATGTATAATTGTATGATATGATATTCCTGGAGAAGTGAGGAAAGAATTAAAAACAAAAAACAAAAATAATAAAAAAGGCTGTCAGAAGATTAAAAATATATATAAAAAAAGGCTGTCAGAAGATGAAACTTCGCTGTTTAGGGGAGCTAGTGAAAAGTTTCTCGATGTTGTTCACTGGCTTGTAACCTTTTTTTTTCTGAAGATGCTGTCAGTGGAGAAGGGGAAAGGAGGTTTGAGGACCTGCTGTAACAGAACATCTGCTATGTCCTCTCCCACCTGCAACTGAGAGTCAATTATGGTGCAATTTCTTTGTCAATGTCGAGTAGGCTTTGTCTTGTCACATAGGCTGTAAAATTTTTCTTCTCTCAAAGGCAAACTGGTGTCATGCATTTCTCTTGCGGGAGATGCGTACGTAGCCTGTGGGCAGCTTGTATGCAATGCCACAAATCTTGCCAGGACCTTTGGGACTTGATTTACTCCTTAATGTGATTTTTCTGACTTGTCATTAGAAACACAGCATATATTGATCACACAGAGCTGGCAAAATCTGATTTGTGTTCGTATGTTAAAATATACACATCAATTTTACGCTGATAAACTGAAAAGATAGGGCTTGCTTTGTTAGGGCTAAGTTACCTTATATATGACATAAACAAGTGCTGCATGCTGTTATGGCTACTTTGCATCTTTTTCATATGTAAATATAAATAAACATGACTGTTGCAAGGCAGGATGAGTCCCACCTCGCATACTTTTTGCCTTTACTACCATATGATTTTTTAAGATGCTAAAGAGCTAAGTGAATGATACTGAAAATGCATTACAGTATGGTAATGACAGCTAACCTAAACTTGACAATGGAGTGCATTCCTAGAATATGTATTGAATTCATTTAATTCCATGAATACTTAGAAGGAATCTGTTAAGCAAACCAGAAGTATATAGATAAGTTGAACCTAAAATGGTGAAGAAGAATGATTTATTTTTTCTTTGGCGGGGGGGAGAGGGAAAAAGAGAAGAGAGTCAGTTTCTACAAAGTGAGTAGTCTGTGAACCACTCAGAAAACAAAAAAGCCTTGATTAGATGTTTACATATCAGGACAGTTTTAGTCAGTTCACTATACTATACAATATAGTGTGTACAGATTCCAACCTGCTGACTGTTGAACATGTGTTATTCTAGCAATTTCACACTGGAAACATTTTTAAGTAGGAACACTGGGGAAACACAATTGCATGGCTAAAGAAAATCTTCTCTCTCTTTTTACTGCAACTTATCTGTAGCATTGTAATAGCTCTGGGTCTGTTTACGCATCACTACTGTACTGAAAATGTAATGAATATCAGAACGAACTTCCTGAATTTGCCTTCTGGTTTGAGAGATAAATTGCTGGAGAAAGAAGAGGCAGGAAGCAGCATGAGTCAACATCTGTTTTCATATATACTGCTCTTTATACATATTGCATGTTGTGATCAATAGCTAGTTAAATGAACACTTTAATTAGGCACATGGATATAAATAACGCTTTGAAGAAAATACGATTAAAAGTTGTTATTCAAACAATTAAAGAAAATCATTCCCCAACAATTAAATAAAATCATAATACCCTCTTTATTTTGAAGAACAAAAATGATATGCATATTTAAAATGTGTGATGTAGTGATTACAGTCAGGTTTTTTTGCTGCTTGACCAGCAACAATGACGATAACTTTTAAGGGAAATTTTCGCTTAGAAGCCACATGTGAGAGTAGGATTTCTCTTGCATCATAACTTTATAGATGGAAATAAACTGTCAGTGCCCTGAGCAAACACACCCCTTCGTAGGGGCATGGCTGGTTCTGCTCCAGACCAGCTCTGACATGGTGTAGCTGTGCACCCTTAGTTGATCTGTGAAAACAGCTGTGTCAGAAAGAGTTGAGAAAAGACTTGCAGTGGACCTTCCTCTATTTATCTGGAAGCTGCATTT